CTGGAAAGGGGCCAATGTGGTCCCCATTTTTAAAAAAGGGAGGAAGGAGGACCCAGGAAACTATAGGCCCTTTAGTCTTACCTGAGTCCTGGGGAAGCTCTTTGAGAAAATTATCCAGGTGCACATCTGTGAGGGACCAGCAGGGGAGATTATGCTTAGGGGCAACCAACATGGGTTCGTTAGAGGCAAGTCCTGTCAAACCAGCCTGCTGGCCTTCTATGGCCAGGTCACAAAATCCTTGGATGCAGGTGTCGCGGTGGATGTAGTCTTTCTGGACATTAGGAAGGCCTTCGATGCTCTCTCTCACCATTCTCATTAAAAAACTAGGAAACTGTGGTGTTGATGCAACCCATCTGACTGTGTAGGCAAATTGGCTGGAGGGCCACACCCAGAGAGTGGTGGTGGATGGGGCTTATTTGACCTGGAGGGATGTGGGCAGTGGGGTCCCCCAGGGCTCGGTCCTCAGGCCCGCACTGTTCAACATCTTCATCGGTGACTTGGACGAGGGGGTGAAAAGCACCTTGTTCAAATTCGTGGATGACACCAAGATGTGGGGAGAAGTGGGCACACTAGAGGAGAGGGACAGGCTGCAACTAGATCTAGACAGGTTACAGGGGTGGACAGATGAGAACAGGATGGGTTTTAATACTGACAAGTGCAAGGTATTGCACCTGGGGAGGAAGAACCAGCAGCATACCTACAGGCTGGGGAACTCCCTTCTCGTCAGCACAGAGGCAGAAAAGGATCTTGGAGTCACCATTGCTTGCAAGATGAACGTGGCCTGCCAATGTGAAGACGCGATCAGGAAGGCTAACTGCACCTTGTCATGCATCCACAGATGCATCACGAGCAGGTCCAAGGAGGTGATCCTCCCCCTCTATGCGACACTGGTCAGGCCACAATTGGAGTACTGCATCAGGTTCTGGGCGCCGCACTTTAGGAGAGATGTGGCCAGCATCGAGAGGGTCCAGAGGAGGGCCACTCGCATCATCAAGGGGCAGCAGGACAGGCCCTACGAGGAGAGGCTATGAGACCTGAACCTGTTCAGCCTCCACAGGAGAAAGCTGAGAGGGGATCTGGTGGCTGTCTATAAGCTGGCCAAGGGAAACCAGTGGACAATAGGACAGTCCCTGTTCCCCCGAGCACTACTGGGAGGAACAAGGAATAATGGCCATAAGTTGACAGAGAGTAGATTCAGGCTAGATATCAGAAGGCACTACTTCACAGTCAGGGCGGCTAGGATCTGGAACCAATTTCCAAGGGAAGTGGTACTTGCTTCTACCCTGGGGGTCTTCAAAAGGAGGCTAGATAAACACCTCGCCGGGGTCATTTGACCCCAGCATCCTTTTCTGCCATGGCAGGTGGTCGGACTTGATGATCTGCTCAGGTCCCTTCCGACCCTACCAACTATGGAACAGCTGGAGCAGGGTCCTGGACAGAGTGCTTAGATTTCAGTGCATGCCCATAAAAGCTGGTCTCCTCCCCACTGCTCATTTGTATGTGTTGCCACCATTCCAGACCATGTCCCCCTCATTGCAAAGGCAGCAGGACGTATAGGGCCCTTGTACATGTGCCAGGGGTTTAGTCCTTCAGGTTTGCATTGTATGCCCCCTAAATTTAAATAGAGGGTTTTATTTTTCCATCACTGTTTACACGTCATCAGTCTTAAATCTCCTGAAATGCTCAGCGTGCTAGTCACAGTAAATTACTGCAGGGGATGCCACATAACAATCCACCCCACTGATCTCTTCATAATAAAATACAGTGAGGGTGCCACACACCACTAATCCCCACTACAGACCAGTGATGTTTATAGCTCACAGCTCACTGATATGTACAGATGACCAAAAGTGTTATGATTTCATTAATTTAGTTAATATATTCAAGTGTCATTACATTAATTAAATTAATTTTATTAATTTTACACTTTTTTTTTTTTATTTCACTCAGACAGCTACTCCTATGAACAGGGCACTGAAATTCTCAAAGTGCTTATAATATGCACACAAATCGGCACCCTTTGTTGAATTTGTGTTGTGGCGCGCTAATTGGAACTCTGATAATGTGCTCCCTGCATTATCCCATGGGGTCCCAATCCCGGAAGACGCCTGGAACTCCCCCTTCTGCACCCACATTCCTGTATTGTTTGGGATCATTGTGTTGTTCAAGGTTTCCCTTCCATCTCCAGATTCTGCTTGCCACACCTCTGTTCAGGTCTCTGTTCCCATAGCCCCCCAAGTCCTGGTTTCCTTGGGCTGTTCCTCATGCTCTGCCCACCAAATTCAAATCCACATACCAATCATCCAAGCTCCCCTCTCAGGCTAACAAGAGAACCTGGCCTTCTTACTAGATGCACCTCCCCCTCAGGCAGACAGGAGCAGAAAGCCGCTTCATTATCACCTCCCCCCTCTCCAAATAGGGTGCTGAAATTCGCTGAGCGCTTATAATGTGTGTGTGAATCAGCACCCCATTAATTTCTTATTTCTTTGTGTGCATATTGGGCATCTAATTAATGTGACCAGAGGTAGATAATGCATTTTAGTGTTCTTGCCACATTTCACCCCCATGCACACCAAGCAAAGGAAAACCTGTAGACTTCAGCCCTCTCCAACTCCCTCCCTCCCCCAACATCACTGCAGCCTGTCCCCGCATCACTAGAGATAATGTACCTATAAGACAGACAGAAGTGTTGCAACAACATTTTTTATTTTATTTATAGAAACACTCAGTGGTAGCTGTTGAATGGTTTAGCACTCACGCGGATTGATCGGCGGCCTACAGAGCACCCTCTCCATCTGCAGCAGCCAGAATGTGTGCAGCCAGGCAATTCTGCACAATGGCTCCCCAACAGGCTGAATGTAGGCAGCACCATACCCTGCCTCCCCACATCTTTGTCTGGCCGCTGCCTCCTGACCAGGACTCGCTAAATACCTTCCCACTGGTCTCACAAATATGGTGGAGCACGCAGGCTGCCAGAATGAGCACCATAATGTTTTTTGGTCCCACCTCAAGCCTGTATGTCAGTGACCACTGCTGTGCTTTCAGATGGCCAAAGGTGCATTCAACAGTCATCCGGCATTTGCTGAAGTAGTAATTGAATGCCGTATTTTGCCAGTCAGTAACTTGTCTTCCAACTGGCGCACAAACTCAGGGTCCCCCAGCACCCACACCAGACTCTTTGTTTCAGCAAATGTCCATTTGGACCTAGACCTATGCACCGCAGTCTGTTCTGTTCTCCCCCAAATGTCAGACATCTCAGATCAATATGGGGTACCTCAGGGAGCTGTGCGCTCAGTTTAAAAGTCCTGAGGTAATAGGACCAAAGGACGTTCACCCCACTCCCACCCTGTTGTTGCTGGGCAGTTTGGATGACAGACATGCTGGTGCCAGGCAGGGTCAAGGCAGGGAGGGGGCTGTGCACCAGTGGCAATATTGTACCTTATGGGCATAATTGTTCTGGACATCTTTTAGCAATGCTTGGTCTTTTAGTCCTGTGAATGCCAAGGCACAGTAGCGCGTTACCTGTCGGGGCATGGCACAACAGCAGGCTACCCAGTGACCCATGTGCCAAGACACCGCTCCCAGTGGTACATGGTCTGAACTGCTGAGCAGTTCAGACATAGCCAGTGAGGGAATGAATGCTAACAGAACTCATCTGCTATTCATAAAGCGGGCACACTTAATGCTCGTGAGGGCTCACAGAACTGCACTTGTCAGGTTTACGTAAAACTGGTGAATGAATTAATGGTGTTAGGGGGACAATTACACCACAACCAGCCAAAAAGGGATGTTTTTAAAAGGTGCAGGGTGGAGGGAGCAGGGGTTCCTCATGGCTGTTGCTGGGCAAAGTCTGGGGATTTTTGCTGGGTGTGCAAGAGCTATGCTCTGCAACTGTTGCAAGTTTTGGCGCCAGTCAGCAGCATTCACCAGGTCTCCCCCTGATGTCTTAAAACATTCATTACACACAAATACCTGCAAATTGCAGCAACACTTGGTGGACAAGGGGGCTCAGTACACAAAAGTTGTAGCGGCACCTGATGGACAAAGGTACTCACCACACATCATTCAGTGAATTACCATGTACACATGACAGATTAATGGCTGCACTGTTCCAAGTTGCGTCATTGCAAACTAAACTACATTGGGACAGGGATTTGTTTATAATGATGCAAACTCATTAAACTGCCAAAAACTCAAACATTTGTAAAGTGTGATGTCATTAAGCCACACAAATGGGTAGTTTTTGTCATGTGTACAAGTGCCCAATGAGCCCAGTCAAAACCCAAAAGAGGCCTTGTTTAGACACTACCACACTATCTCAAAACCAATTCAAAAGGATGACAGGTCAAATCCAGGCTCATGCAGCTAGGGATGAAAGCAGGGCACAGATTCTGGCAGACCTTTACCTGGTAATAAGAATACCAGTGGTTACTTTGGCTGAAACAAGAAGTTCCAATGGGTATCAATCTCCCTGCTTCAGGGCACAACTCAACTACTGACTTGGGGGGGGGTCAGAAAGAAACTTCATGTGTTTATAGACATGCTCAAGGACAGAGTGCGGGGGGGCACTTTAATTAGAGCAGCTCTGAGAGCCGCTCTAATTAAAGCACCCAGAGTGTCACATGTATCAGTATCCCCACACTTAAAGATGGTGGTGGAGGTGCTTTAACAACACAATCAAATGAGCTTTAGTTAAAGTACCCCCGTCACCATTTTTCAGGGTGGTGACACTGATAGACATGATGCTGGAGTCTGCTGGAACACAATAATTACCACACTTGATTAATTTGCTCCAATGCACTGTAATTACAGCACATTGGAGCAATCTCTCTGCATGTGTATAGGCAGGGCCGTCCCTAGGGGGTGCGAATCAGGGCAACTGTCCTGGGCCCTGCGCTTTGTGGGGACCTGCGGAGCTGGGCAGAGCAGCGACTCCACATCCAGCCACTTGCTACCCCCACCCCGCCCCGGCTGCCACCACCACCTCCAATGGCGGTGGCAGCTTCTTTGGGTCTGGGGCCTGTGGGATCAGAGTGGGGGCAGGGCCTGGCATGGGCTGATTTGCCTTGGGCCCCACACCCTGCTCAGGTTGGCTCTGTGTATAGGAGCCATTCTTCTGTAGGCCAGGGCTATGTACAACCTCCTCCAGAGTTGCTGGTCCTGGCCGCGGTTCTGTTGCAGGGTGGCCATTCCCATCTGAACCTATCCAGTTCAGGAAGGTACATTGGTAACCACCACAGATGCCGGCCATTGGAGCCATCCACTGGCCTTGCTACACAGGGCCCTGCTGTATGAGAGCCACAGGCTTGTGCACTGGGCTCTGGAACATGGTATGGGGTGGGAGGGGAGAAACCACAAAGATGGGGGTCATGCCTGCCCAGGAACTGGAGGCTGTGGGGCACAGGACTCACCCTTTGGGACTATGGCCCAGTCCTGTAGCTGAAGAGCATTTTTGAGGCAGCCTCCAGCCGGTCTCCTAAGCATAAGCCCTGAAATATTTTGAGGTCCTTGCAAAGACCCATATGTTCTGCAGGTGTCAAGGTGGCTGTACTGAACCTGGGAATGTCCTGCCCCTGTCAAGGCACTTGGCAGCCCTGACCATGCTTGATGCTATTTAGCGTCTGTGTGAGGGGCTCCAGCAAGGCATTGCAGAAGCACTCAGCATGCGTCCAACTCTGTCTCCCATGATGTCAGGGTAAAGCTCCTGCTGGCTCCAGGAAAAGCAAAGTCATGTCAGTGCAGAAGGTGTTTGCAGATCTCACCCCTGCTCATCACATTTTCACCCATTCAGGATGGGGCTTGTTGCTGCTCCCATGGAGGTTGATGAGGCAATTGACTGTGAAGGGCAGCAACAACTGTACTTCAGTCTATGCCAACCCATGCCCATGCCTGCTCACCTCTGCCTTTCCAGTTGCTTCCTGCATGGAAGAGCTCATGAGACACCCAGCCCCAGTTGTATAGCTTGTCTAGGCCTGAAACACTGGGGTCTCCTGTGCCAGTGTTGGCAAATCTCCACTGTTCTCTGTGCACAACACCCAGGGGTGTTCAGGGTCAGGTCCCATGGCTAGAGGGGATGTCAGCTCCTTACTTTCACGACCTTTGACCATGAGATTGGCTAGTACCAGATTCAGGAGGCTCCCAAGCCAGGATCTGCTCTTGTGTAGCCAAGGGGAAGTGAAAGAGCCCTTTCCAAAGTGATGGGTTGAAGAGCTTTCTTGTGTTGGTCTGGAGAAGGCAGATCCTAACTAGCTCGCTGGGGGCTAGGAGAGAAAGGCCCTAGAAGCTGAGTGCTGTCTCTATGCTTCTCACTGGGATTGAACAAGTGGGCCATGTCCCCAGGGGCTACAAAGCTGCTGTTTTCCTTCAGCTCTATCATATGGAGCCAGGGTCACTTGTCCATTATGTGGGCAGCCTCTCAGGAGCAAAGCACTGCCCCAGGAGCACCTCAGCTGATGAGCTGCACATGCTCCACTGTGCACTGAGCACCTTGCTATCACCTCCACTCATCTTCTATCTCTTCCAGACGCCTGGGAACTCTAGCTCAGCTCAGCACCTGCACATCTGGGCACAGTTCCTAGTTTATCTGTTCCAGACACAGGGGAGTCTAGATACCATGAGGGATTTGCTCAGGTCCTGGAGCAGATGGAGGGGTGTTCACCTGACCTGGATGTGCCTGCTCTCCTCCATGCTGGTAAGGCCCACACAACTGTGGTTAGCTGGACCTCCAGCTGCATTCATTACCCCATAGCAGGGATGCTCCCAGTCCAGGCTTTCAGCCCCATCCCCAGAGGAGGAGTGCTGCTGGAAAGGTAGCAGGGGTACCTGGGTTTTCCTTGTGCACTCCCTGCCCATCAGGGACAGACCTACCCTAGCACACAACTAGTTAATGCTTAGGAGACTCGGTCCCCTGATCCCTGTTAAGAGCAACAAGAATGGCCCCCACCCATCAGGCATGCCAGGGCAGAGGATGGGCCTCTTACTCAGTCCTGAAGACCAGCAGGGATCCTCAGAGCCTGGATGTGAAAGGGAGCTCCAGTGCCAGGGCCTCCAGTGAGACTGCCCTGCCATCCATCCCAATATGCCCTAATCTTGCCACTGCAGCCCATTGGCTCTCTCAGTGCTGCTCTCTCAGAGCAATGAGCTATGGCCTGCAAGTGCCCTGGGTACTACAGGGAACGTCTTCCCTGGCTCCAGGCCGAGAGTTGCTGCACTGGAGCTAACAGCAGCATGAGTGCAAATGCACTCACCATCCAGCCCTGCTGGGCCCCTCCTACCACCAGAGAAGTGCAACAGCTTCTCAGGGCCAATGAGGCTGGTATGTGAGAGCACTTGGGGTGATCCCTGCTGCCATGAAGATGCCCAGGAAGGAGGTACTTTCTCAGGGAGCCGGTCCCCAAATCATGCTGTTGTGAGCTCCCTTCAATGATTATTAGCATCCCCAGGGGACAGTCAGTGTCCGATGCCCCTCCTCCTTCCCACTTCAGTCCTGAACCACAGCCCCCTTCTCTTCCAGATTGGGGTAGGCCGTACATGCAGCTCTGCCAATACCCTCTAGCTTTGGAGGAAAGGCTAATGTCTCCTGAAGCACTGCCACCCCATGTGCTCTATGCAGGGCTTTAACTCTTGCTTAGGCAGGAGGCACTAACCTCAGCTCTGTGTCTGCAGCACAGCAGAGCCAAGGTCCTAGAAAAGACCTTTGAGGGGTGGATGCGCTACCGTGATGAGTGCCTGGACAAGATAGCTAATGATCCATACCCAACAGGTGAGGCTGGCATAGGGGCTGTCACCAACCCATAGGATCCCATGACCTCTCATGAGCAAAACATCTGGGTTTGACTTCAATGGATTTATGACCTGCTGGATACTCATGTAGGGCAGTTGTCTCCTGGGGAGCCCTAGTTAGACTCTTCCATCAGCATCAGCACAGGTTTGCTGGGAAGTACTTTGCTGAGACCAGTGAGAGCTGTGCCCTTCTGCTATGAGAATCTGTGCCCTGCTGGCTGCTGTGGAGCTAAGACACATGCAGAGAGCACCTCAGGATTTCCAGCAGCTGTGATAACCTCCTCCTCCCAGGAGCAGTGATGTTTAAATGACACCAAAGGAAAAATTCCTTCCCAACCCCATATGGCAACCACCAAAGCCCAGAAGCACGGGAGAAACAAGATACTCTCCACTCTGCTCTACAACCTGGGACCAGCAGGCATAACTCCACATTTCACACCCTCTACCTGCACAGCCAGACCTCGCTATTCTGTCTCCCCTCCATACACTGGTCCCTGCTGCATTAATCTTCTTTCACAACTGAGCCCGCTTCATTCTTTTGCTGCTGAGCATGCTCCTTTCCAATATACACCTGCTCTAGGCTGCTGAGCTCTTCCAGTTATCATCCAGTGATAGCACAGTATGAGCTCTGTACTGGGACTCAGAGCTTTCTTTGTCCCAGTGGCCTGAGAGCTGTTTGAGCAAAAGGCATCTGACCCCTCCATAATGTCACAAGCTGGGTGGAGACTCCCAGTCCAAGAGAGTAAGTGGTGAGCATGGGGGCCAGAGCCTACGTCCATGCATAGCAATTCCTATGGACTCCCATGGGTTTGGATCCAGCCCTGGTGGAAAGGAGCTTCTGGACAGGCTGGGTGGACAGCTCAGAGGGTGGGGGGCACTGTGTTTCATCAGTGGTCCTATGTGGAGGATTTCTGCCTCTGCTGCAGGGCAGGGCAAGGGGTGAGTGGAGAACACTTTCAGTGTAGGGCCAGGACTTGACTTTCCTGGGGACACCTGCCACATGATGGGCTAAACTATTTCCAGTGGCTGCTGAGTGATGGCAGGTGTGCAGCAGGGGAAGGATAGAGGCAGTGGGGGGTGTCCAGCTGCTAGCTCCCCCTAGGGCTCCTGAGCTTTGTCTTTCTCCTTCAAAGGTCCCTTCTGCAACCGGACATTTGACATGTATGCCTGCTGGCCAGATGGGAGCCCCGACACTATTGTCAACGTGTCCTGCCCTTTCTACCTGCCATGGTTTGAGAAAGGTATGTGCGACTCTTCCTTCTTCTGTGGGATTTGTCATCTGAGTATCCCACCAGCCTTGGGAAAGAGCAAGGGGGTAGACCTTCCCTGTCTAACTGTGCAGTTATTCCATCTTACAGATGGAGAAGCTGAGGCACCCAGAGGGAAGAGTCTTGGCCAAGGTCACACAGGGAGTCAGGGGCAGAGCTGGAAATAGGTCCAGGTTCTTTTTCCCCTAAACACTCAGGGCCTGACTGCATGTCTCTGGACATTAGTTATACCTGTGCAAAGCAGGTGTAAACAGCTATGCCTCCTCCTTGCACTGCAGGGGCAGTTTCTGATGCTCACAGGTAGAGGTGATTAACTATAGATTCATAGATGTTAGGGTCGGAAGGGACCTCAATAGATCATCGAGTCTGACCCCCTGCATAAGC